AATCCTCTCCCTCTCACAGACTGTCAAGATTTAAAATCTCCTGGTGACACCCCCCACAACCCTGTAATTAAAGCTTTGCTCATAAAAACGCAAAGAAGACGGGACAGACGACCTTAAGGTGATGCTCTTCTTAGCTTCCCTGAAGGCAGAAGATGCTTAAATACTCCCAGGCTGGCTCCCACGACAGCATCCCACCACAGAAGAAGAGCCGAAGAGCCTGTCTGCTCACCTGAGCTCCAACTCTGCTGAGCACAGCTCCCTGAGCCACGCAACCCCCACACTGTGAAAGCGAAAGGTTTCTGCTCCCACGCTTTAACCACCAGCCCATGTCCCTGCAGGCCGGTCACCCGCTCCACGTGGCTCTCGGGGCTGTGACTTGCAGGTCACCGATTCCCAGAAGAGCGCCCACGGGGAAATCAGGAGGGCACCGTGCTGCCCCGCCTGGCTGCTGACTCACAGGCACATCCCCCTTCCCTGCATCTCAGCTTCCCCGTTTTGAACCCAAACTGCCCATTGCTGGAGGGGCCGGAAGGGCACTGTCCCCTCGACCTTGAGGCCAGCTGTTTCTATCTGGGCTATGTATTCATGACACACAAAAAAAGCCACCTTCTCCCTTCCCGGCAGCAAAGACCCAGCCAAACCAGGCAGCTGGAGCATCCTGCCCGCAGCTGGGGTCTCTCGGCTCAGTACAGACCACCAGCCTCAATCTGGTGGGGTCTGGGAGGGAAGGGATGGCACAGGGACTGACATGGCACATGGCAGGGCGTTAGCAGCCACCACTGAGTACCAGCGTGTGGCAGACATGAGGGTCGGGAAGCTCCCGATCCACTTGTGACCTGCTCCAAAATATCCCGGGTGGATGGAGGAGGAGAAAGAAGGGGTTTGCAGACTCCCATAATTGTGGCTGATCCGGACCTGCTGTCCTCTAGGGGGGAAGGCAGGCAGGTAGGAAGCAAATGTTTCCCATTTTCTGTACAGCTACTGCACCCCAATGTCACCGATCTCAATCACCAGAGCTGTTAGAGCCACTTAAGCCTCTCAGAAGAAAGCTAAGTAGTCTTGACAAAGACAAGTCTTCACCTCTCAAGATCTCATGAAACAAAGCCAGCTCTCAGTCATTTCCACTTAGGGACCCAAAGTGTCTAAATTAAATGTCAGGCTCCAAATGCATTTTTTCAAACTTATCAGAAAATGCTGGAGTGGCTCATCCCGCTGCCGGGATGTCACTGACAAACCCCCATCGCAGCCTCTCTGAGTCACAGCACAGGATTAGCTGGGTTGAGAGACATCACGCAAGTCTGACGTTACACGGGGACACGCACTGAGCAAACCCCCAAGGAGGTAGCTCCTGCCCGACCGCCCTGGGAAGAAATAGAGGAGACAAGGAAGGAACAGGAGGGGATAGCGAGAGAGAGAGCTCGTCAGGCGATGGTTATGCAGCAAGTCGTGCTTTGGCCCATATCCCAGCCACTCAAGGTGAACAACTTTCATTCTGAACATTTTCGCCCAACTTTCACAATAGCTTATTATTCCGCGGTGCTGCTGAGCAATGTTTGCCTTTCTCCTCTGCGCCCTGGGGATCTTTCCCAGGTCCAGATTTCCACCCCTGAAAATACAAGGCCTTGAAACCAGGAAGACAGTAAAGCCACTTGAAAAAGTTAAAATAAGCCACAGCATTTTATGACTAGTCCAGTCACTGTGAACCAATTCTGCAGCCTCTTTGGCTGCTTCATCACTTAAACATAACTGTGCAATACCCGAGTGACAGCAAACCCGTCCGGAGCGTTTAGCCACGTCCCAGCCACCTGTGGTTTCAGAGCTATGACTACACCTCTTTTAAAAGGAGTTTCCTTCTTTTATTTGAAGGCTTCAAACCTGGGTGGCTTGAAGACCAGAAAAGCAAGATGCCTAAAAAATAAAAGACAAACCATTTGGCAAGGAAATCTAGCCCCGGGGGGAAAGATTCCCCAAGTAAAACAAAAGTGAAAGGCCTCGAGGAAAATCCACCTGTTGGGGGAAGGGGAAAAGCAAACCTGTGTCAGCGCTGCCCTGCCTCCCCGCTCAGAGCCCTTTTAGCAGTTTCTTACTAATGTATTCTGGCTACAGCCATTACATTTCCTTTCCAGACCTCTGGCAAATTAATTATAAAGGAAGTTAAAATCAGCCCGTTCAGTGCTCCTCATCCCGGCAGAAAGGATCAGAGTCAGTGTTCAGCTCCAACCAGAGAGTTAATCTGGAAAACAGCAACACTCACCTCTGCAAGGTAAAGGATGCAGAATTTCCGATCTTCTGAACCTACAAAGGGAAAGGACAAAAAAAAAGAACATCAAAATTAAGCTACAACTGTATTTCTGCAAGCAGAGCCGCTGGCAGAGGAACGGCCTAAGAGACAGCATTTAATGAATATTTATTGCTGGCACCCCACAGTACCAGGCGGTGAGCTGGCGGTGATGTATGCCACAGCTGCAGGGGCCGCGCGCCGGGCAGGCTGTGTTGCACGCTGTCCTGCGGGGCCCCCCGACACTACCACGGATTCTCCTTTGGGTTCATCCTTTTGGAAAGAGTTTTGTTTCCTCCAGAGGCCATGTGCAGGCTCTTCTGACAGACCTGCCAGGGCACCCTGGGGGTGGTGGTAGCTCTGTCCCGTGCTGCCTGTCGGA